TTTTTTAGTCTGTCACCAAAATGGGAAATAAAAACCTCAGATGTAAGAGTTAGCATGTGGATAATCATCCCATAACTTGAAACGATTTAAGAGAGTCAGAACTAAAGTTTCCTGGAGCTGGCTAGAAAATTGACAGTCACAGATTAAACAAAAACTACTTAAAAGGAGATGCTGCAGTTTTTTTTTTTTTTTATTTAAGCAGATTTTAAAATTAAAGATCAACTATTTAAAAATATTTACTAACATGTATTTCAAAAACCTCGTTGTTTTAACAGAGGATCAGATTCTAATCCTATGTCACTGTACCTTTGGTTTTAATGTTAAATTTTTAGAAAACATTATAACTACATTTTAATAATTATAGTCAATTTTTCACACAGATATTATAAGATTATTCCGCTTAAAGCTTTTGGTTGTGTGTGTGTTTTGATAGGCAGAGTGGACAGTGAGAGAGAGAGACAGAGAGAAAGGTCTTCCTTTTGCCGTAGGTTCACCCTCCAATGGCCGCCGTGGCCGGCGCACTGCTGCTGGTGCACCGCGCTGATGTGATGGCAGGAGCCAGGTACTTCTCCTGGTCTCCCATGGGGTGCAGGGCCCAAGCACTTGGGCCATCCTCCACTGCACTCCCTGGCCACAGCAGAGAGCTGGCCTGGAAGAGGGGCAACCGGGACAGAATCCGGCGCCCCAACCGGGACTAGAACCCGGTGTGCCGGTGCCGCAAGGCGGAGGATTAGCCTAGTGAGCCGTGGCGCCGGCTCACTTAAAGCTTTTGTGACTTCCTCACATATTTCACAACTTACACTTTTAAGTATTTTGCCCTATTTTTTCTTTTTCAGTCTAGAGTAAATTCTCCTGTAGGACAAAACAATTTTTTACAAGCATTGCCCTTTTTTACTTAAAAAAATTTCAAAAAAATATTATTTATTTATTTATTTGAAGGCAGATTTACAGGGAGTCAGAGGCGGGGGTGGGGGGAGAGGTCTTCCATCTGTTGGTTCACTCCCCTGATGGCTGCAATAGTTGGAACTGCACCAATCTGAAGCTGGGAGCCAGGAACTTCTTCTGGGTCTCCCACAGGGGTACCGGGGCCTAAGGACTTGGGCCATCTTCCACTGCTTTCCCAAGCCATAGCAGAGAGCTGGATCAGAAGTGGAGTAGCTGGGACTCGAACTGGTGCCCATATAGGATGCTGGCACTGCAGGCGGTGGCTTTACCTGCTATACCACAGAGCCAGCCCCTAAAATTTATTTTAATAACCTTTCTCACCTAAAAAGATTTTCATGCTTGTGACCCTTTTTTCATTTGTTGATTTCCTTGATTACATTGAAATAATTATTTAAAAATCTCTAAATTAAGACATTCTAAAACTAAAAGAACATGTCAAATATTAACCCCAGTTACTTTCAGGCAGTCTTGAATTATTTTTCAAATATAGACTATTTATGAAAACATTAACAAACTCAAATAGTTATATTTTTTAGAATTTAAGATGTTAAGAATATCAAAGTTTACATTTAGAAAGATTTATCTCATTTACCTTTACCCAATTTGTACTGAACAGTTACACCTAGATAAGATGGTGAGATACTATATGATACTTTTATCTGAATTAAGGTCAAAATTACTTTTTTAAGGAATTTTATTATTTTTCATAAACCAACTCTAATTGGAAATCAGTGACATAAACCAGAGACTGCAAAATCTACCCCAAGGGGCAATAACAAGAACTCATTACCATTGTTATTTTGGCTGAATCTGTTAAACCACATTACAAAACAAGATGGGTGAGTTACAAAGCAAATTATTTTTAAGGCAATTAATTTTTAGTTTCAAAAGGGAGAAATCCTTTTAAACCTAGTTACAACTGTACCAGATTAGCACAAGAGCAATTACCCTGGCATTTTTATGCATGAGATTGTTATTTATCAAAACTACCTCTAACTGGTCACCCAGTGTCTCAGAGTTGCAGTTTTTTTTTTTTTTAATTAATTAATTTATTTATTTTGACAGGCAGAGTTAATGAGAGAGAGACAGAGAGAAAGGTCTTTTTTTTTTTCATTGGTTCACCCCCCCAAGTGGCCACTACAGTTGGCATGCTGCACTGATCTGAAGCCAGGAGCCAGGTGCTTCCTCCTGGTCTCCCATGTGGGTGCAGGGCCCAAGGACCTGGGCCATTCTCCACTGCCTTCCTGGGCCACAGCAGAGAGCTGGACTGAAAGAGGAGCAACTGGCACAGAATCCGGCGCCCAAACTGGGACTAGAACCCGGGGTTCCGGCGCTGCAGGCAGATTAGCTTAGTGAGCCCCGGCTCCAGCTGAGTTGCAGTTTCATCTCTGTGCTATATCGTTTTATGAGATTGCTTGGGCAACCCTGCAAGGTGATCAGCCTCCCTTTCTGCCACTCAGGCAGATCTGCTAAACCAAATGAATCAGGGTTCCTACCAGTTCCAATCGGTAGTGCTCCCTAGATTGATTCCTCTGCCTACTGGGTCCATTGTGCTGGCAGGGTCAGAGTCCTAGCACACTGCGGAGAGCCACTCACCACAGAGTAAGTGATCCACTGGCACCACGAGAGATCACTCTGCCCCTGATGCTCCAGGGACCCTGAGCCCTAATCAACAAGGGAGGTGGAACAAACACTAGCCCAATCCCAGACGAGCCCCCAGAAAAATGTAGGGGGGGCTCCTGAATAGAGATGAGACATCAAGGCCAGGAAGCAATCTTTTATGTTGATGATGATGATGATGATGATGATGCCACCGCTGGAGGCATAAGGCCCAGTTGGGTTTTTATCCCAAAGACTGAGCCAAGAAGGGTATTTCCTTATATATGGTTATAGCCTCTTTGTCGTCTTTATATGGTTATATACATACATGAGATTGGATATTCTAATATTACGCGGCAGCCACAGGAATTGTTACAATACTGGCATGCATATGTAGTTACTGATGTAAGTTGTTGGGCAATGGTTAACATCATTGCTTTGTACTAGCAAGCAGAACCTGAAATGGTTACATATAAGCAGACAGTAACTACAGTTGAAGCATTCAAAGACAAGCAGATAATGACCATATTTACTTCCAGTGTAAGTTTCTTTTTCACTGTCTGATCTTGTTGAGGCCTCTTATCACAACACAGCAGTTCTTATTAGCCATTTTTATTTGTTTCAGGCTCTCATGGAGTTCCTCTGACTTCTAGCCCAGTGCTCTTTGTTCAGATTACAGAATCTCCTCTGACAGGAGTTATGGGACAGGGTTAAGTAACAGACCAGGTGGGTGGGAATTGCTTATTTGATCTGCTCACCTCTTGGGGTCAGTTCAGGTGATGTTGGAGTCTGTGCGGCAAGCTCTGCTGGCAGGCAGTCAGGCTGCGTTTGGTGCCACAGGAATCAGTCTTTCTGTCCTTGTTCCCAAGCTAAACCTAAAGGGAGGGGTGTGTGACAACAGCTCAGGGAAGGCCAGTGCACCCGCTATGCTATTCTGCCAGAGTCTCTGTTCCCCCTCCTCGCTTAATTTCATGTTGACAGTCTCTTCTTTCTTCCCCTCCCTCCCTCTCTTTCTGTTCTAAAGAGTGACAGACTTATATTTTAGCTAAAAATCTGCTCATATATGGCATTGAAGCAAATTTAAGTGTAAAAATACAAACTTTTAAAATATAAAATTAGGCTGGCACCACGGCTCACTAGGCTAATCCTCCGCCTTGTGGCGCTGGCCCACCGGGTTCTAGTCCCGGTCAGGGCGCTGGATTCTGTCCTGGTTGCCCCTCTTCCAGGCCAGCTCTCTACTGTGGCCAGGGAGTGCAGTGGAGGATGGCCCAAATCCTTGGGCCCTGAACCCCACGGGAGACCAGGAGAAGCACCTGGCTCCTGCCATCGGATCAGCGCGGTGCACCGGCCGCAGCGCGGCGGCCATTGGAGGGCGAACCAATGGTAAAAGAAGACCTTTCTCTCTGTCTCTGTCTCTCACTGTCCACTCTGCCTGTCCAAAAAAAAAAGTAAAATATAAAATTAAGTTCATGTAAAAACCTATAGTGGGGCCGGCGTCGCGGCTCACTAGGCTAATCCTCTGCCTAGCGGCGCCAGCACCCCGGGTTCTAGTCCCGGTCGGGGCGCCGGATTCTGTCCCGGTTGCCCCTCTTCCAGGCCAGCTCTCTGCTGTGGCCAGGGAGTGCAGTGGAGGATGGCCCAAGTGCTTGGGCCCTGCATCCCATGGGAGACCAGGATAAGTACCTGGCTCCTGCCATCGGATCAGCGCGGTGCTCCGGCCACAGTGTGCCGGCTGCTGCGGCCATTGGAGGGTGAACCAACGGCAAAGGAAGACCTTTCTCTCTGTTGTCTCTCTCTCTCTCTCACTGTCCACTCTGTCTGTCAAAAACAAACAAACAAACAAAACAAAAAAAAACAAAAAAAAACAAACCTATAGTGAAGAAAACCCATTTATGAACAGTTGGTATATATTTTTTCGTCTTTTTCATTCAGTTAAAAGACAGTGGCCATGATTATAGCACTTTTTTAATGAAATAAAAAACAACTTCTTGCATGATTTTAGGTCGGGAAGGTGTTAGAGGAAATTACTGTTTCTGAGACTGAAGGGTGGCCCTTAAGTTAATCTCCCTTTTCAGACATCCTGGAGCAAGGAAGGATTTGATTTCAAAACTCTCCCCTACTTTGTGCTGTTTCTTCCTGATTTGATGTGCTCTCCTTAGGTCAGAAAAACAGGTCTTAGATGATTTTATGCTGCTGAGATTGAGATCCTGTTTGTTTGCTGGTGGAGTTGCTGTTCCTGTGCCATATGAAAGCTGAATTGTTTCTGATTGTTCTGCTGAACATGTATATCCATCCTTGTTGGGGCTCTTTCAACTGCTCAGGTTCCCCAACCTTGTTCCTGAGGAAAACCCAGGTGTGATACAGGAGCTAACCTACCCCTCCTGCAATACCTGCAGCAGAGTGGCTTCATGGGCATGGTGACTAACCTGCTGGCGATCTCTTTTCTCTTCCCACAGATTTTGAAGCCAGCTTCATAAGGCTTTTGGACAAAATAACTAACGGTTCTCGAATCGAAATAAACCAAACAGGTAAACTCCTTTTCTTTCCCTGCATGAAAGCACCTACATACACCATTGCAACAACCTCTGCTTCTCACTCTTCCATAGTGTAAATGCTGTATTTTGCTTAAAACTCTACCTGAAAGAGAAAAAAAAAGGGGGGGCTGGCGCTGTGGTGTAGTGGGCTAAGCCTCCGCCTGCAGTGCTGGCATCCCATACAGGCGCCGGTCCTGGCTGTTCCTCTTCCTATCGAAATCTCTGCTAATGGCCTGAGAGAGCAGTGGAAGATGACCCAAGTGGTTGGGCCCCTGCACCTGTGTAGGAGACTCGGAAGAAGCTCCTGGGCTGCTTTGGATCAGCCCAGCTCCAGCCATTGCGGCCAAAAATAGGGAGTGAACCAGCGGATGGAAGACCTCTCTCTCTTTCTCTCCCTCTCTCTCTGTGCCTCTCTGCCTTTCAGATAATATTTAATTATTTGAAAATCAGAATTAGAGAGAGGGAGAGACAGAGAGAGATCTTCCATTGGCTGGTTTACTCCCCGAATGGTCAAAATGGCCAGGGCTCGGCCAGGGCTCAGCCAGACCGAAGCCAACAGCCAGGAGCTTCATCTGGATCTCCCACATGAGGGTAGGGGCCCAAGTGCTGGGCCATCTTCAGTTGCTTTCTCAGGTGCATTAGCAGTGAGCTGGATCAGAAGTGGAGCTGCTGAGACTCGAACCAGTGTCCATATGGGATGCCAGCACTATAGTTGGCGGCTTAACCCACTACTCTACAGAGCTGGCCCCTATATAAAAATTTTCAAAATATGTTCACTTTTAATATCACATTAAATTCTTAAGGCAAACTTTGGGGCCGGTGCTGTGGCTCACTTGGTTAATCCTCTGCCTGCGGCGCCAGCATCCCATATGGGTGCTGGGTTCTAGTCCCGGTTACTCCTCTTCCAGTCCAGCTCTCTGCTGTGGCCCAGGAAGGCAGTGGAGGATGGCCCAAGTGCTTGGGCGCCTGCACCTGCATGGGAGACCAGGAAGAAGCACCTGGCTCCTGGCTTCAGATCGGCAGAGCTCCAGCCGTAGCGGCCATTTGGGGAGTGAACCAATGGGAGGAAGACCTTTCTCTCTGTCTCTCTCTCTCACTATCTATAACTCTACCTGTCAAATAAAAAAAAATTCTTATGGCAAACTCTGAGGTAGTTGCATATGCTGAATTTATTTTATTTTCTCTCTTACAGTAAGTTTACAGATGTATATGTAAATGTGAGAACTCCTTCATCTCTTGCCTTTCCATTCCCTTCTCTAGGGGCAGCCACTGTCACAGTGTTTGTTGACACAGGCACTTACATAACTCAGACCATCAACGGGGTCATGCTCCTCATAGTCTTCAGCAGCCAGTATTTCGTCACTGGCATTAACTGTCTTAGGGAAATCTCTCTGCCAGCAAATACAGGTCTGTTCAGTATTTCTGTTCGCTGTGTATAGTATTCCATTGTATGGATGCACAATCATTTATTTAACTGCTTCCTACTGTAATCTTTTAGGTTATTTCTTTTCTCTTTTCTATTAGTCTTTCTCTTCTTTGTGTAGACCATGGCAAAACTCCATTGGCCAACTTCATGAACTGTGTACCTTTGTGTATATATTCCACACATAATTCTTTGACCTTTCCTGTATACTGGTGCTTTTAAAAAAGAAGACAAGATTGAGTTCATACATAGCCCTGTTTCATGGGAGGTTTGCTGATCTGTGACTGCATCTAGCCATACCTTACAGAGAGCTGGTTTTGGACGTGAGCTGTTCACATGCTCTTTGCCAGCTGGAAGACCCTTAGTCTTTCGTGGCTTGTTTGATTGGAAATTGCTGCAAGTTTTTACATAACTTTTTAAAAAGGTTTACTTACTAGAAAAGCAGAGTGACACACACACACACACTTCACACACAGCTTGTATTTTTTATATAAGATGAACAAATTTCATGTATTTCATATTTTCAGATATAGGAGCATAATGAAACTTACCATCCTACCCTCCCTCAAGCCCACACTCCCACCCTCCATCCTCCTTCCTTTCTTATTCTTTCTTTTAATTTTTAAAATGTCTTACTTTCAGTTTATTTTAAAATCATAAGATTAACCCTCTAGTAAGTAAAACATTCAACAAAAAGAAGAAAAAAAAAACCACCAAAAACTCTGTTCCTCAACAGCAGAGACAAGGACTGTGAACAATAATCAATTCTCAAAATACCAATTTCATTCCAATATTGCATTCTAGATTAGTTACCACAGAAAACGTATGGCACTTGTCTTTTTGGGACTGCCTTATTCCACTAAGTATAATAGTTTCCAGTTGCATTCATTTTGTTGTGAAAGACATGATTTCATTTTTTTAACCACTGAATAGTATTCCATATTGTATATATACACATTTTCTTTATCCAGTCATTGGTTGATGTGCATCTGGGTTGATTCCACATCTTGGCTATTGTGAATTGAGTTGCAATAAACATGGGAGTACAGTTAACTCTTTCATATGCTGATTTTATTTCCTTCAGGTAAATTCCCAGGAGTGGGATGGCTGAGTCTATGGTAGTTCTATTTTCAGCTTTCTGAGTATCTCCATACTGTCTGCCACAATGGCTGTACTAGTTTACATTTCTACCAACAGATTAGGGTACCTTTTCCCCCACCATGCCTGTTCGAGTCCTTTTTCCATTCCTTGAGTGGATTTTTTGTTTTTGTTGTTGTTGAGTTTCTTGAGCTTTTTATAGATTCTGGATACTAATCTTTATCAGTTGCATAGTTTGCAGATATTTTCTCCATTCTGTCTGTTGCCTCTTTACTTTGTTGAGTGTTTCTTTTGCAGTATAGAAACTTCTCAATTTGATGTTATTCCATAAGTTTTGGTTTTGATTGCCTGTGTCTCTGGGGTCTTTTTAAGAACTCTGCCTATTGGCCGGCGCCGCGGCTCACCAGGCTAATCCTCTGCCTAGCGGCGCCGGCACACCGGGTTCTAGTCCCGGTCGGGGCGCCGGATTCTGTCCCGGTTGCCCCTCTTCCAGGCCAGCCCTCTGCTGTGGCCAGGGAGTGCAGTGGAGGATGGCCCAGGTGCTTGGGCCCTGCACCCCATGGGAGACCAGGAAAAGCACCTGGCTCCTGGCTCCTGCCATCGGATCAGCGCGGTGCGCTGGCCGCAGCGCGCCGGCCGCGGAGGCCATTGGAGGGTGAACCAACGGCAAAAGGAAGACCTTTCTCTCTGTCTCTCTCTCTCTCACTGTCCACTCTGCCTGTCAAAAAAAAAAAAAAAGAACTCTGCCTATGCCAATGTCTTGTATGGTTTCCCAATGTTGTCTAACAATTTGATGGTATCGGTTGCAGATTTAGGTCTTTAATCCATTTTGAATAGATTGTGTGAGTTGTACAGTAGGGGACTTGTTTCATACTTGTGCATGTGGAAATTCAGTTTTTCCAACATCATTTGTTGAAGAGACTGTCCTTGTTCCAGGGACTGATTTTAATGCCTTTGTCCAAGAATAGTTGATTGTGGATTTGTGGATTGATTTCTGGAGTTTTTATTCAGTTCAATTAGTCTACATGTCTATTTTTGTGCCAGTACCAGGCTGTTTTAATAATAACTGCCCTGTAGTTTGTCTTGAAATTTGGTTTTGTGATTCCTCTGGCTTTGTTTTTGTTGTTTAAAATTGTTTTGGCTGATCGGTGTCTCTTGTGTTTCCCTATGAATTTTAGCATCGTTTTTTCCAGATCTGAGAAGAATGCTGTTGGTATTTTCATTGGGATTGCATTGACTCTGTAAACTGCTTTTGCTGGTATGGACATTTTGATGATATTGATTGTTCCAATCGATGAACATGGGAGATTTTTCCATTTTTTTGTGTGTTCTGTTTCTTTCTTTAATGTTTTGTTATTTTCATTGTAGAGATCGTTGACATCCTTGGTTAAATTTATTCCAAGGTATTTAAATTTTTTGGAGCTATTGTGAATGGAACTGATCCTAGAAGTTCTTTCTCAACCATGACATTGGCATTGTCTGTGTATACAAAGGCTATTGATTTTTGGGTGTTAATTTTATATCCTGCCACTTAGCCAAACTCTTACAAGTTCCAATAGTCTCCCCCCCCCCCTTTTTTTTTTTTAAAGATTTATTTATTTATTTGAAAGGTGGAGTTACAAAGGGGCAGAGGCAAAGAGAGATCTGCCATCTGCTGGTTCATTCCCTAATTGGCCACAATCAGTGGAGCTGGGCCAATCTGAAGCCAGGAACTAGGAGCTTCCTCTGAGTCTTCCATGTGGGTACAGGGGCCCAAGCACTAGGGCCATCTTCTGCTGCTTTCTCAGGCCATAGGAGAGAGCTGGATCAGAAGTGGAGTGGCTGGAACTTGAACCAGTGCCCATACTGGATGCTGGCACTGCAGGTGGCAGCTTTACCCACTATGACACAGCACCAGTCCCTCCAATAGTCTCTTAATGGAGTCTTTTGGTTCCCCCTCTATATTTAATCATGTCATGCAAACAAGGATAATTTGTCTTCCTCCTTTCCAATTTGTATCTGTTTGACTTCTTTTTCTTGCCTAATTGCTCTGGCTAGAAGTTCTAGAACCATATTGAATAGCAATGGTTAAAGTGGGCATCCTTGTCTGCTTCTGGATCTTAGTGGAAATGCTTCCAGCTTTTTTATTTTTATTTTTTATGATTTATTTATTTATTTGAAAGAGTTACAGAGAGGGAGAGGCAAAGGCAGAGAGAGGAGAAGGATCTTCCATTTCTTGGTTTACTCCCCAAATGTTGTCTTCCTTATTCTTGTTTCTAATATTTCTGTGTTTATTTTTAGGCGTTTATGGAAGTACTTGTTGGTTTTCTATTCTGATGTGTTCTGTCTTTGAACTATGCCTCTGTGGCTTAGTGGAGTGTCTGCTCCTTCAGTGAATACCCAGAGGCATGGTCTGGGTGGGTCAGGGAGCTCTGGTCAGTGCACAAGGGTGAGATGAGAATCTAGGTGACACTAAAGTTGGACATGGCAGATCTCCTTTGTTGTAATCAAGGGTAGGGTATGTTGATGCCTGTTAGCATAATCACAGTCTCACCTCCTCTCTTCCAAGGTGATCAATGCCTGGGGTGAGCCCAGAGTGGGTACAACCCTGACCCATGCTGGCGCCTGAACCACAGAGACAATCTGAATAGTCCTCAGCATGAACGTGAAACACTCTGCTGTGACCTACCCCAGGCAATCAGAGAGCTCTGAGTCTCTGATGCTAGACACAATGATTGGGCAGAGACCCAGCTACACCCTATGCCCTATCGTGTAGACACAGAATTCCCACAGTCATAGCATGCAAAGGCTCCCACAGTCACAGGGTACAGAGGATCCCCTATCAGTCCTGCGAGCCTGACCCATCCACTGAGAGAACAAAACCAGCTGCCTCTGGGTACTCTACCTTGTCCATTGAGCCCCAGAGCCTGTGATAGGTTGAGAGGATGGGAGTACCCCACAGTCCTAAGTGGGTACCCAGCCCCCTGTCAGCCCTCTCAGCCAGACTCAAAGTCAGTCGGAAACACAGATTTCCCCCCTCTTTTAAAATGTCCTGGCCTCTCCTCGCCTCTCCCCACCTCTCCCCACCTCTCCCCGCCTCTCCCTGCCTCTCCCCGCCTCTCCTTGCCTCTCCCCGCCTCTCCTTGCCTCTCCCCGCCTCTCCCCGCCTCTCCCCGCCTCCCCCCTCCCCCCCCCTCCCCTCCCCCTCGCCTCGCCCCTCCCCTCCTCTCCCCTCCCCTCTCCTCCCCTCCCCTCTCCTCTCCTCCCCTCCCCCTTCCCTCCCCTCCCCTCCCCTCTCCTCTCCTCTCCTCTCCTCTTGACAGGCAGAGTAGACAGAGAAAGAGAGAAAGGTCTTTCTTTACCGTTGATTCATCTCCAATGGTCGCTGCGGCCGGCGCACTGCGCTGATCCAAAGCCAGGAGCCAGGTGCTTCTCCGGCTCTTTTCTAGGTTAGGTAGGCATCGTGCCCGCTGCTAGGGATCTTGTTAGTGTGGTCCACGAGGTTCTTCTTCATGCAGTATTACCAGTGACATGGGCTGCCATAGTCTGCTCTCACCTTGCTCTCAGAAGCTAGCATCTCCTTCAAACCCTGGCTGCTGGAATTGTGTGTCGTGTCCCACTCGCTGCTGTGTGTCTGCTCTTTCCAGGCTGCTCCATGGCATCTCTCTTCTTTCTGTAGAATTTCCACTTCTCCTCTGGGAATACATTTCGTCTACTTTTTTTCTGTCATCTTCCCCTCCTCAAAATCAGCATATCTTTTACCTATTCAGCTATCTTTGAAACTAAAGAGAAAAACTTTCCATTCACTAGTTTACTCTCCAAATGGCCACATCTTTGCAAAAGATTTTGAGCAGCCAAATTACCTTGTTCACCTTTCATCTAGTTGTTTCCTCCCAGTCCCCCAATGTCGTTTAGGGTATTTAACTTTGTTCATTTTCTGATGTGTCAATCCCATAAAATTTTTGGGTGAGTATTAAGAAAGTAAGTAAAGATAATAAAGAGCTTCTACTAATGCCTTAAAATGCTTTGGTTGTTTCTGTTCATTAATGTTAAAACAGCTGCTGTGAATGTCATTGAATGCCTTAGATACTTGCCTTTTCTAGGCATCTTACTTTATGAGATACCTGAAGACTCTTACTTCAGGGGACCCAGGGGAGGCTGATCCCAGTGGGATGATTTAAGAACTTTTTTTTTTTAGGATTTATTTATTTATTTGAAAGGCAGAATAACAGAGAGGCAGAGGAAGATAGAGAAAAAGACAAAGTCTTCCATCTGCTGGCTTACTCCCCAGATGGCTGCAACAGCCAGAGCTGTACCATTCTGAAGAGGAGCCTCCTCTGGGTCTCCCACGTGGGTGCAGGGGTCCAAGGACTTGGGCCATCTTCCACTGCTTTTCCAGGCCATAGCAGAGAGCTGGATCGGAAGTGGAGCAGCCAGGACTCAAACTGGTGCCCTTATGGGATGCTGGCACTGCAGGTGGCAGCTTTACCCATTATTCCACAGCACTGGCTCCTAAGAATGTCATTTAAAACCTACAGTTGGTGCAGTCTTGGTGTGCCCTTGGGAAGCTAGGGTGCTTATGAGGAGCTCTTCCCTGGGCCCTGCCATGACTTGGCAACTTGGGTGGCTTAGGGAGGGGTTTAATTTATTACTGTTTATTAAATTACACTCACAGTTTATTATTGTTTCAAAGGCTTGACAGTCATGAGTCAGCATTTACAGTGAAGTATGGACTCTCAGGAATGGCATTTTGAATTCCCTTAGATACCCTTGTTACATTTTCCCCTTGGGACTCACTGCCTTCATTGCCTTTGTGACACTTAGTGTTTTTCCTGCTGAGAGTGGCTCTTTTTCCCCTGACTCCAGGAACAACCTTGTATTACCAGCCTGGCCTCCTATATGGTGGGTCCCTGGAACATGACTGCAGCGTGCTCCGCGGCATTGGCTATTACCTGGAGAGTCTTCTTTGCCTGGCTCCATTCATGAAGCATCCACTAAAAATAATTCTGCGGGGAGTGACCAATGACCAGGTGGACCCCTCGGTGAGTATTGAGTACAAGCCATGGTGTCAGTTGCATTTTGTCTCTTTCGCCGCCTGATTTCTGAACAAAAAAAAGTTCCTCATAAAGCACTGTTTTATTTTGAATTATATCTTTGTTATGTGCTTTGAGATTTATAGGTTAATCCACTTCAGGAGGCAGATGAACCCAGACTCATTGTAATCCTCAGGGTCAGGACAATTGTTAATATTCATCCAGGTGCCTATCGTTGTTGTGTAAGAACCTTCGAAACAGATGCTTAGAGTCTCATTGCAGTTGACATGAAGTATGACTTTGTTGATTGAAGTGTGTGAGAGTGATGTTTTTAGAAGGTTATGTGATAGGTGAAGCTGGAGGGCAGCAGACCAGGACATAATATCCTCTTGGCATTACCACAACATGATCCTGACTTATGCAGGCTTCTGGCCTACGCTGAAGAATTTCCTTCATCGGAGAAGAGTTTGCAGATTTAGTAAAAAGGCCTAAGTGCAGAGAAGGAATGTATGAGCTCTGATAGTTTGTTGGTTCTAGCAGGCTTCTTATTAAGCATGTCAGTTTTCCTGCGTGTATTTATATGGAGAGAATGGTTCAACATCCAGCTAAAGTTTTCACAGTGATCACCACAGCCGTCTTAGTGCCAACCTTGGACATCTTACATTGAGGAAAGGATTCTCTGCTTTTGTATGCCCTGTTATCCAAACTGTGTCTTAAAGCTGATGGCCTTGAAGTCCTGCTATGGACAAAGGCTGTGACCATTCTGCAGCTTCTGAGACCGAAGGTGAAGTGTGTAGCTTTCCTAACTGGTGAAGACCAACTGCTTGTGCAGTGAGCCCTGAAGTGGAGACTGCTAGTATTCACTAAGATACCAGCTAGAGGATAACCATGGTTGGTATGTTCTTAGGCAGTTAAAAATGTATTTCTCAATTCTTCGAAATTCAGTTGTATAAACTCTTTTCCTAGAATGCCAAATACAGTGCAAGATCTGAAATCCTTAGTTGTAAATGTATGTTGTATAAGCTGTTTAGAATTTTAAACAAATTTAAGTGCTTGCTCTTTTCCTGCAGTTTCTGGGAGATGCTAGGAAATGGGCCCTTTGGTACAAGTATGAGAGGGGGCTCTACTCTTTTAGATTACAAGGGGCTAAGACACCTCAGACGATGGGGAAGGGTCCTGCGGTATACTTAGGACTTTAGTGCTGTATGTCCAATTAGTACTCTCTTTTTCCATAATTTATAATACTCTTAATAGCTGTTCTCATTGGCAATATTAGAAAAGTTTTAAACATTAACCGTAATAAAGATCAGATGATGAATTCTCCAGAAGGTGGTGCCTAATCCTGTTATGCAGATTGTTATAAACAAATCTGTTTTCACATGCTACAGGATCATCTGCTTTTTGCCAGCTGCATGACTAAAATGATGTCGGTTGGTACATAGCCCCACCCAGGTTAAATAAATACAATTAATTTTGGATAAAGAGTAACTTCTTCAGCCTGCAGCTTTCTCTTTCTATGTGGTTTCCTCATCTGTTTATGTCCACATCCATTCTCTTCATACAAGGATGAATACCAGGAGTGGTTGTGCCCTCCAACAGCCTTCAGTCTCATGGAGGTACATATGATCAGTATAGCTAAGGACTACAAGGCTAAATACCCCTGGGGCCTGATAGAGAGGTGCAAGCAAAAGGCTGAGTAGTGTGGTATCTTGGTCTGTTTCGCATTATTATAACAAAACACCTGAGACTGAGTAATTTATAAAGAACAGACATTTGTTTCATACTGATATGGAAATCCAAGACTATGGCACCAACAGGCCTTTCTTGTGCATCATAACATAAAGGAGGCACCCTGTTGTGAGACACAGAGAGAAGTTGGGCCAAACCGACCCACTCCAGTGACAATGACTTTAATCCGTTCATAAGGGTGGAGACATGACCAAATCACTTCTTAAAGGCTTCATCTTTTAGTACCTTTTTAGTGGCAGTTAAATTTCAACCTGAGTTTTGGAGGTGACTTTTTTTTTTTTTTTTTTTTTTTATAATAGGCAGAGTGGACAGTGAGAGAGAGAGACAACAGAGAGAAAGGTCTTCCTTTGCCGTTGGTTCACCCTCCAATGGCCGCCACGGCCAGCACGCTGCGGCCAGCGCACTGCGCTGATCCAAAGGCAGGAGCCAGGTGCTTCTCCTGGTCTCCCATGGGGTGCAGGGCCCAAGCACTTGGGCCATCCTCCACTGCACTCCCTGGCCACAGCAGAGAGCTGGCCTGGAAGAGGGGCAACCGGGACAGAATCCGGCGCCCCGACCGGGACTAGAACCCGGTGTGCCGGCGCCACAAGGCGGAGGATTAGCCTAGTGAGCCACGGCGCCAGCCTGCATAAGGTTTTGTAATAGAGCTGAAAAATTCTGATTGTTTCATGATGTTGTATCTATCATAACGTCAGTGCAACACAGTACTCACAAGTTTGTAGTGATGCTGGTGTAAGTAAATCATACTACTCTGCCAGTTGTATAAAAGTGTAGCATTGCATTGCAGTTATGTAGAGTACACAGCACTTGATAATGACAGACAACTGTGTCAGTTTATGTATTTAACTATTTAAAAAAAAAGATTTTTTTTTTTACTTATTTGAAAGGCCGATATACAGAAAGAGAAAGAGAGAGAGGGAGATCGTCTATCTGCTGGTTCACTCACCTATGGCTGCAACAGCAAGGGCGGGGCCAGGCTGAAGCCAAGAGCCAGGAGCTTCATCCTGGTTTCCCACATGGATGTAGGAGCCCAAGGACTTGGGCCATCTTCTGCTGTTTTCTGAGGCTCATTAGCAGGGAGCCGGATCAAAAGTGGAGCAGCCAGGACTTGAAGTGCCTCCCGTATAGGATGCTGGTGTTGCAAGTGGCAGCTTAACCCATTATACCAATGCCAGCTCTTTATGTATTTACTATCTATGTTTTTGTTAACTCCTTCCACTTACTAAAAAAAAGTTTACTGTAAAACAGCCATGGTCAGGTCCTTCAGGAGATGTCAGAAACCAGTGTTGTTATCTTAGGCGAGGACAGCCCCATGTGGGTCACTGTGTCTGAAGGCTGCCCAGTGGGTCAGGATGTGGATGGTAGTAGAAGATAGGGATATTCATGATGATCCCAATTGTGTGTAGGCCTAGGCTGTTTGTCTCTCTCTCTCTCTCTCTCTCTCTCTCTCTTTTTTTTTTTTTTTGACAAGTAGACAGTGAGAGAGAGAGAGAGAGAGAAAGATCTTCTTTTTCCCTTGTTTCACCCTCCAATGGCCGCTGTGGCCAGTGTGCTGCAGCCGGCGCACCGAGCTGATCCGAAGCCAGGAGCCAGGTACTTCTCCTGGTCTCCCATGGGGTGCAGGGCCCAAGCACTTGGGCCATCCTCCACTGCACTCCCGGGCCACAGCAGAGAGCTGGACTGGAAGAGGGGCAACCAGGATGGGACAGAATCTGGCGCCCCGACCAGGACTAGAACCCAGTGTGCCAGTGCCGCAGGCGGAGGATTAGCCTATTGAGCCGCGGTGCCTGCTTGTCTCTCGGTTTTTAACAAGAAGTCTAAAATTAAAAATAAAATATGTAAGCAGTAGACTGTGCCTTATAGCTTTGGTGTAGTACGATGTAGGTTTATGTAAGTATATTCCATGATGTCTGCACAGTGAAATGGTCTAATGCATTTCTTAGAATGGATCCCTTTTGTTAAGTGATACATGACTGTATTAAGTATTTTTTTTTTAAAGTTTATATATTTGAAAGGCAGAAATAGAGAAAGAGAGCTCTTCCATCTGCTGGTCACTCCCCAAATGTCTGCGACAGCTAGGGCTGGGCCATGCCATCTGGGAGTTCCAGGTTGGTGGCAGGGGCTCAAGTACTTGGGCCATCCGCTGTTATCTTTCCAGGTGCCTTATGGGAGAGCTGGATTGGAAGTAGAGTAGCTGGGACTTGAACAGACGACCGTGTGGGAATGCCAGTGTTGCAGGCGGCAGCCCAGCCTGCTAGACTACAACCCCAGCCCCAACTGTATTTTTAAGTGTGTTTAACTTTACTACTTAATTGGAATTAGTTAATCTTTAGTGGGTTTTCTTAGTTACTGCCCCTGTTCTGGCTGGTGCATTCCGAATATCTTCCTATACCTCACAGGTCATTTCTACCTCTGGTTGATTTACTGATATCAGAATATTTAGTTGGAAGCTGTTTTTTTTTTTTTTTTTTTTTTTTTTTTTTTTTTTTGTTATCAAACCTTATTTGAATTGGTGGAAACTTGGAGATACCCAGACTTGAGGCCTTCATCTTAGAGACAAGGGCATTCAGGCAGTTGTGACTTTCTTGACTGAGGCCAGGCAGCTAAGTAGAGCTGAGGCACGACTAGGACTTTTCCTTACACTCCCTGCCTGTACTGGGTCTGCCCTCACTGTCTCCTGACAGGGTTGACTTCCACACTCTCTGGCCAAGAAGGGAATGTCTCTTGCCCCATGAGACAAATAAGGCAACATTTACTGGCTCGCTAGGTGGTTGTGTTTTGGATGTCATCTTGATGGCCTATGAGGAATCCCCAAATGAGAAAGAAGAGACCCCCAGCATCTCTGAAAAGAGAGATCATGGCAGTGCTTGGCAAAGTCTTCATAACTGTGGATGTTGTTGTCATCGCATTTTGGGGTTTGTAATGCTTGAGGCTATTATTCTTTTTTTTTTCCCCCACCCCGAGGCTATTATTCTTCACTACTTCACACTCCAAGGTAGAATAACCACCTACATTTGAATTCTTAGCTTAGCCATTGACTTAGAGTTCTACCAGCTCTAAGCCATAAGCAACCATATTGGAAAAGTTTTATAAAAAAGGCTGATAGTTCCTTTTATAGTGAGATCCAGTTTGTTGTAAGTTTCTCCATGCTTTTTGCATGATGCATGTGGTAAGCACAATGGCTGGCAGGTAGTTGAAGGTCTCCATGCTGTACGTGAGCACGGCCAGGCCCACAGAAGCTCAGTGGCTTACAAAGTCACAGCAGGGTTAGAGGCAGCCCACACTCTCAGTTGTAAGCCAGCATCCCTCTTCACCAGACTCCATCATATACAGGTTGCTAAGCCTCATCTGCTTTGGACTCTTCCTAACTGCCACAGGCTAATGAACATTTTTTTTTCCTCCGTGGAATAATTTCACAGGTTGATGTTCTTAAGGCAACGGCACTTCCCCTACTGAAACAGTTTGGGATTGATGGTGAATCATTTGAGCTTAAGGTAAGACTGTATGAATTGCAACTTGTTGGAAGAGCAGTGTAACTCTGTGTGTGTGTGTGTGACTACTTATCAGAACATCTATCTACAGGACTCATGAGCCACACACTTCAGACTTCGAACTAAAAGGGGCCCTTTATTTTATTTATTTTTTTAATATTTTTTATTTTTCCCAAAGAAACTTTATTTCAGGTGAAAGGGGCCCTTTAGTGATGACAGTAGTGACATTGATGTTTGTACTCACTTTGTAGTAGGGGCTATGGTATATATACTAGTATTAACTCCTTTATTTCTCCTACCAGCTCTGTCTGTATAGTTAATGAGAGCAGCAGGTATTCTGGCACTATAGCTTCTCTGGTCTAACCCAGGATGCCTTTGAGAATTTTTCAGTATGTCCATAACCTACAAGTAACTCAAGCATCTGTTCATTTACTGTCAAAAGGAATTATACTAGTCCATTGCAGGAACACTGAGTTATCTTAAGCCATTTAACATCTCTGCATTGTAGATTAATATTGCTAAGCAGGGGAAAAACCTTATTTTTCTTTAATAGTATAGAGTTTTGATGGGTGAATTACTGACATAGGAAGAAAGAAGAGGTTGCTGATGGTTAAGAAATGGGATCAGCTGATGAATGAGACCAGTTCCCCATTTTAGAGTACAGAAACAGGTCCTAGTGGTGAAGGAACCTGCCCAGGGTGATATAGATGGGTGGAGCCACTTAGCATTCCACTTTGTGTTTGACTCTGGTTTTAAGTCCACTGCTCTTTCTGACACACCATGGGCTGCCCTCTAGGAGCTAGCAGGGGGTGCTGCTGGTGTTGCAGGATTGGCAGGTTGAAGATGAAAGGACTGTCCGGCCCATTGGTATACACCTTCACGGACTGGGCATCCAGGTAATCCACTGCCTTGCTGTGCCCTCGGCTCACTTTTCTCACCTTCTGTGCAGATTGTGCGGCGGGGAATGCCTCCTGGAGGAGGTGGTGAGGTGCTTTTCTCCTGTCCCGTGAGGAAGGTCTTGAAGCCCATCCAGCTCACGGATCCGGGAAAAATCAAACGTATCAGAGGGATGGCGTATCCTTTGCTTTTGGTGAGGTTTATTAGTTTTTCTTGCCTGACTGTGATAAAAATTACAGAAAGCTTTACTTCTTTCCAGAGTTATTTGCATTTTAGACAACAGTCTTGGGAAAGACTTCATAGTGAAATGTAGTTATTGACTGAGAAGTGCTGCACTATTATCTGCCTCACCATGATTAGATTGGTTGATGCCCTAATTGTTTTTTTGGTAATGTACATAAGCACATGGCTTTCCTGTGTGAAATATCCTTCCAAGGGCTTTGGTTTGGGGGCCAGGAATTCACCACAATCCCTCCCTCAGAAGAGTTCATTTTCCAGTGGGAAAAAAAAAATATGCACACATACACTTCTTTAGTTTCTAAATTTTCATTTTATTTGAAAGGAAAGGCAGAGACACAGACGAGAGAAATTTTCCTTCTACTGGTCCACTCCCTAAATGCTTTTAACAGCTAGGTCTGGGCCAGGCCAAAGCTTGGAACCAGAAACTCAATTTGGATTTCCCATGTGGGTGGCAGGGACCCAAGCACTTGAGCCATCACCTGCCTTCCAGAGTGCACATTAGTAGGAAGCTAGATAGGAAGTGGGAAGGCCAGCACTGAAAGCAGGCATTGCGGGGCCGGTGCTGTGTTGCAGTGGGTTAAAGCCCTGGCCTGCAATGCTGGCATCCCATATAGTCATGTTCTATCCCGGCTACTTCTCTTCCAATCCAGCTCTCTGCTATAGCCTGGGATAGCAATACAAGATGGCCCAAGTCCTTGGGCCCCTGCACCCACATGGGAGACCTGGAAGAAGCTCTTGGCTTCTATCTTTGGGTTGGCGCAGCTCAGGCCTTTGCGGCCATCTGGGGAATGAATCAGCAGATGCAAGACCTCTCTCTGTCTCTACCTCTCTGTAACTCTGTCTTTCAAATACATAAAATAAATTTTTTTTGGCTGGCGCCACGGCTCAATAGGCTAATCCTCCGCCTGCAGCACCAGTACACCGGGTTCTAGTCCCTGTCGGGGTGCCGGATTCTGTCCCGGTTGCTCCTCTTCCAGTCCAGCTCTCTGCTGTGGCCCGGGAGTGCAGTGGAGGATGGCCCAAGTGCTTGGGCCCTGCACCCGCATGGGAGACCAGGAGAAACACCTGGCTCCTGGCTTTGGATCAGCGTGGTGTGCCGGCCGCAGCACGCCGGCCGTGGCGGCCATTGGAGGGTGAACACAATGTCTACTTCTTATTCAGTGCTTGCTCTGTATGTACACTGATAATTACTTGAGGTTTATGCCCCAAATGGCTGCAGTGGACGGGGCTGTGTCAAGTTGAAGGCAGGAGCCTGGACTCCATTGGATTCTCCCACAGGAGTGCAGGGGCCCAAGTACTGGGGCCATCTTCCTCTGCTTTTCCAGGCACATCAGCGGGAGTGGGATTGGAAATTGAGCAGCTGAGACTTGCCTGGATTTCAGGCAGTAGATTAATCCTCTTTGCCTCAATGCTGGCCCCTAGATACCTTACTTTTAAGCCTTAGATTCACTTTTTTTTTTTTTTTATTAAGATTTATTTATTTATTTATTTGAAAGGCAGAGTTACAAAGAAGCAGAAGCAGAGATGGAGCGAGGGAGAGAGTTATCTTCCATCTATTGGTTCACTCTCCAAATGGCCATAACGGTTGGAGTTGTGCTGATCCAAAGCCAAGAGCCAGGAGCTTTGTCCAGGTCTCCCACGTGGGTGCAGGGGCCTAAGGACCTGGGCCATCCTCTACTGCTTTCCTAGCCCATAGCAAAGAGCTGGATTGGAAGTGGAATAGCTGGGACTTGAACCGGTGCCCATATGGGATGTCAGCACTGCAGGTGGCGGCTTCACTCCCTATGCTACAGTGCCAGCTCCAGATTCACTCCCGATTTTGCTTACATCTTATTTTGCAGGTGGGGAAATAAGGCTTTTAAAAGGTTAAAGAATTTGCTAATAATTTCACACTGCTGATAATGACAGAACTGGGATTTGAACTCTGTCTGTATTACCGTGAAGTCTAGGCTTTTTTAAAAAATTTATTTATTTTATTTGAAAGGCAGAGATATAGAGAGGCAGAGGCAGAGAGAGAGGTTTCCCGTCCGCTGGTCCACTCCCCAAATGGCTGCAATAGCCGGAGCTCAGCTGATCTCAAGCCAGGAGCCAGGAGCTTCTTCTGGGTCTCCCACGCAGGTGCAGGGACCCAAGGACTTGGGCCATCTTCCACTGCTTTTCAGGCCATAGCAAAGAACTGGATTGGAAGTGGAGTAGCTGGGACTCGAACTGGCATCCAAATGGGATGCCAGCTTTGCAGGCAGCGGCTTTACCCACTATGCCAAAGCACCACCTCCAAAGTCTAGGCTTTTAACCTCTGTTTTTGCCTAAAGAAAGAAGAGGGCATTTAACCTTAGTTTTGGAGACTAGAGACTTGTTTAAGTAAAAGTAAAGGAGGATTACTTCTGATAGAAAGTGCCTACTGTTTACAGTGGTCCTGTGGAGTGACAGATGGTGTGGCCTGCCAGGTTTCATGTTGTCAGCAGCATTTGATGGTAGAACATGGGGCATAATGTGGCAGAGCCGCCAAGGGGCTGAAGCCTTTGTGGAGGTGGTTGTCTTATTCAGAGTTAGCGATTTTCATCTGGAGAGGGAATTTGTGCATTAGGAGGACAGTTCTGGTGCTATGCTTCTTTCTTATGGTAGGGGTTTTAGAAAGTACAGGTTTAAAAAATCATAACAGCAGCTTCTTAGAGGCAAAGGAACAAGGAATTGTTGTGCCCTATTGAGAGATAGTGAGGTGGGAGGTGGCGGTTGGAGGACAGGGAAGCACAAGAGTTAGAAAGGGTAAGATGCAGGGATCTCCTTGGTGTGTGGTGGAAAATGGAGACTCTGTGGGTGATGTTGGTGGCTCACTGAAGCCCCTGGGTAGAGAGGTTTGCCCTAACAGTAGCTACACAGATAGGTCCAGTTTTATACTTATGGGGTTTAAGGATCATTCATGTCTAGTAAGATAGGTCTAGTATGGAAATGAGAAAGTCAGGGCTGTAACTCAGGGTGAGGTGAGGACTGGTAATGCATGATTAGCATGTAGAATACAGAAAGGAGAGTGGAACCCTGAGGGAGGCCTTGCAAACCAGAATGCCCAGGGCAAGTCAGAGGTCAGGGAGGAGCAGAACGAGCATACTGCCTCCTAGGAACCCAGGCCAGCACCTTGAAGGCCAGAGGAGCCAGCATTAGGGAGGGGAGGAACTGAGGGGCTCAGAAGCAGGTGCCTCTGGTGCCTTGGGAAGAGCTCTTCCTGGAGAGCAGCGGTGTGGAACCCAAGTGGCCACTTTGGGATTATGGCATGGAGTGGAGGGCCATGGGGCAGGGGGCAGGGGGACACTTCCCAGAATCTTAATATGGAGAAGGAAACAGATGAGGGGATAACCTGATGAAAATAGAATGCAGATGGCCGGCGCCGTGGCTCACTAGGCTAATCCTCTACCTGCGGCACCGGCACCCCAGGTTCTAGTCCCCGTCAGGGCGCTGGATTCTGTCCTGGTTGCTCCTCTTCCAGTCCAGCCCTCTGCTGTGGCCCGGGAGTGCAGTGGAGGATGGCCCAAGTGCTTGGGCTCTGCATCTGTATGGGAGACCAGGAGGAAGCACCTGGCTCCTGGCTTCGGATTGGTGTAGCACACTGGCCATAGCAGCCATTTGGGGGGTGAACCAGTGGAAGGAAGACCTTTCTCTCTGTCTCACTCGCTCTCTCTCTCTCTCTCACTGTCTAACTCTGCCTGTCAAAAAAAAAAAAAAAAAAAAGAATGCAGAAGACTCCCCCCTCCCCTTTCTTTTAAAAGGGTAATAACAATTTGAGTGTTTGTAGTTTGGACAAGGAGGCTTAAGTAGGAGAAAGGGAAACTGAGGAAGCCAAGTAGTAAGGTGTTGAAAATCCTGGCTCCTAGAGCGACATGGATAGAGGCTGTGTCACTCACTGATGGTAGCACTTCGGCCCCAAGCTTTGACTGACTCCCTTGTCATGGGACCTGTTACACCTACTGCACAGAGGTGCATGGAAGATTAGCAGAGGCAGGAGATGTGCAGTGGAGGCACTGGGCCCATGTATGAGTGATCATTTAGCAGCTGCTGTATTCATGCTGACAGAAGTAGGAATCTGGGTTCAGTGGCCTGACTCATTTGGAGAATGAACCAGTAGTTGGTTCTCTCTCTGTCTCTGTGCCTTTGAAACAATGAAAATAGATAAATAAAAAAGTTTTTAAAACCCCACAAAGTAAGAAGATGCCCAAATTTGCCTTTTCTTCTTGATCCATGTCAGTTACTTGGGGATTAATCTCATTCTTGTTCACAAGCACTTCGTATTCCAGTGTATAAGGGACCTCACATCCAACTCTGATGATGCCATTGAGTTGTTTTTTGTTTTATACTGTTGCTTGCATGTGAAATGGTACACACTTTCAGGACTGGTTCAGGTATTTTCCCTCTGGGGTGTGTTTGCTTACGACTGCTCTGAGCCCAGTCTCTCTGGCCTGGACCTGTGATTCCCAGCAGTGTGCTCTATGTGTTGACACTGTCTCACTGGATTTCATGGAGGCCATCATTCCTGGTGCCTCTGTAGTTTCTGTATTGGGAGTATTTGATGCTGCCGCTGGGAAGTGCTGAAGGTTCCTGGGTTTTACAGGGGGAGCATAAAAGTGACAAGAGCCACGATGCCCCGGGCACTTTGGGTGTAGCTTTGTTCCTGCCTGGCTTCCCCCTTAGTGTTCTTTGAACTTCTTCTCTGTGGAAGCTGAGCAGGAACGTGACTTGTGAGGTGCTGAGTCTTCTCTTTCCTTGTGGCAGAGGATGAGACCCTTGCATCACCCTGGATCCATCAGTGTCTGGTAGAGGTTCCCCCCTAACCCCGGGAAAATGGGTGCCCAACCCTTGCTCAGACTCCGGTCTGTAAACCTTTCCAGCCTCTGGGCTGCAAAGCTGCCCGATTAACAAACACCTCAAAGGAATGTGGGTTTGAATTATCGCTTTCCTTGCCAGCTTTTGGAGCCTGGGGAAAAAGAGCTGCCTTCAGAAAGGGCTATATTTGATTTTGTGTTTTTTTCCTTGTGAGGCTGGCTGACTGGTTGGACTGAACTTGGAGGCTGTATTTCCCGTCAGAGGTCTGCCATTGGGAGAACCAGTCCTGCTGTCTTGTGTGCATTTGTGGTTTTGACTGGATTGCCCCCAAAGTGCATCTTTGGCCACTTGCTTTCTACATGGTGATGACGATTGTCAGGGCCTCGGAAGGAGCTGCTGGGACATGGCAGTGGTTACCTTGGATACCACCCATGCTCGTTCTCCCCAGCCAGGTGTGGCGTGGGAAAAGGGAGCACTCTGTTTTTCAGTTTCGCGGTGCTGTACCAACACTCAGGATTTGGTACATAACAAAAAATAAAGATGCAGGGGTAGAGGCAGAAGAGGGTACTGAGTTGATATTTGTGGGATGATCTGGTTTCCTTTCCTTGACTGTAGGGAAGGCCCTTTGAAAGTGTCTCTTTCTTTCTTTCTCTTTTACGTACACTCACCACACCTCCTACCCCAATGCGTGCCTTGGCTTTCCAACCTTGAACACCAGGGAGGGCAAAAGCTGGAGTCCCATAAGAACTATAGTTATGAACTGGTCTCTCTTGGGTGTTGATCCTCTCTGTGGTGTTTATCAGTAGACTTTAGGAGGTTCAGAAAGCTCTGACGTTTTCTGCAGAGTTGTGTGCTCACATATGTTTCTTGGGAGAGGATCCGTAGCTTTCCTCAGATGCTCAGGTAATCTGTGTTTTAGGATTTGAATCTTGAAGTAATAATAGGACAAGCAATAGCTGATGCTTGCTGGGCTGCTGCCACACCCCAGGTAGATTTACATGCAGTATTTCATTTGAGGGAAGGGAAAGTATTATGGTTATCCTCCTTTTCTGGTGAATTTGAAGCACAGAGAAATTAGCACACTTAACCCAGACTGTTGTCATACGGGACTTGGACTCCAGAAGTTGGCTCTTAACCATTCTTCAGCAGGGCTTCCCTGCCCAGCCAGATAGCTCCAGGTAACTCTGGCTGTCACTGGCCTTGATGCGCCTTTGCCTTCTTCATTTCACTGGTCGAATTTTAGAATTGTCTTCCCTTGGCCCTGAATTAATCCATTACCCTCATGCTTTTCTTGTCTTTGGAGCTGTAGGAGGAAGAAGATGTATTTTAGAGTGAATGTGTGTCTTGGTTCTGTGTCATGGTTCTCCTTCTGTATGCCCTGGAGCTGGGTATTAAGGCCCTTGCCACAGGGTTGCTGTGAGCATAGGTAAGGTCATAATATATGTGAGGGGATCTGGGGAGCTGCAAATGCTGTGGGATTTCGTGTTAGGCAAGTGACATGTCCCTTGCCCTCCTGGAGAGAGTGGGCAGCCTCAGGCCTCAGAAGGACAGCGCCCTCTCAGTCCAAAGGGTAGGAGACCCAGGGCTGTTTGTCTGAGCTGCTTGTGGTCAAAAGTATGTTCTGCACAGGCGAGGTGGTGATGTCACTGGGCTCTGTGTGTGTATTGAAAAATCCCTCTTTGCTCTTTCCTCACTCCAGGTTTGTCCTTTGAGTCAAGTCAAATATTTATTGAGCATTTCTGAGTACAAATGTAGTGTATTAGAGAGTTGTGAGGGATACGGAAGGGAAGCCTCTGTCCTTGTGGAGCGTGCGGGCTCACTGAGAAGCGAGAACCCAATGTGTGTACGTGAAGAGGATACATGGTGGCCACAGCTGGGTGCTGGCTCCAGGCTGCAGGAGAGTCAGGGACCTGTGGGCTGGAAGAACGAGGAAAGGCGGTTCGGGGTGAAGGATTTGAATAGTTTGGGAGCATGGAGGGCGTGATGGTGCCAGGCCGAGGGTGAGCTCACTGAGCAGCAGAGGTGACTTGGGTTGTGTGAGGGAGATGGATCTTTTAGTGGAGTGTCTGGGACAGGGCGCAGGGGGATACCAGGTGCCATGTCAGTTCCTTGCAGTCTCTGCTCATTTTGTTTCTGCTTTGTTCTCACATATGCAGCCAGCTCTTCATTGTCCTTTGCATGTGGAAAGTGCTCAGTATGTATTTCCTTTTTCTTTGACCTATAGGATTGGGGAGAGCCCATCTCTGTTGTCAAGTCTAATTTTTGATAATAGTCTCCACTTTCTCAAGCACTGGCCTTTTCACTGGAGTTACTAATATATTTCTCCTTTCTTTTCTGGGTTCTCTGATGAAGAAGTGCTGATTGTCAGTATTTTGACCATAAGGTAGAAGATGTGAGGGGTCTGCATCATCCACAGATGGAGTGGTTCTTAAATAACAGAGTAGGCTCTTTAGGATAGAAACACCTGTTTGAGTCTTTATAAATAGCAGTCACCAAACTTTTTCTGCTTCCCTTCTCAACATGCCGGGAGGTGGGATTGCTCTTGGCCCAGGTCAACACCTGTGTAATGTCTGTTTTGGCTTATTATTTACGGCAATGGGAATGACAAGGGAATGGAAAGTTCTTCTGGTATTGTACCCCAAAGGGAGCCTGACTTGTTTGGATTTTTTTTCAACCTTTAATAATAATAATACTAAGGAAATAAATTGAGTTATGGTACTGTGAAGTTAAGTAATTAATTATAGTTGGAAAGCAGAACGGAGTTAGAAAGTCCCAGTTTGTTGGTATAATTCCACACACAGTTGTCAGTTCCCTGTCCCCGAGCCCCAGCAAGATGATGTCCTTAACTCCAGATTGCAGGTACTCTGTACGCGTCTCACCGCAGATGGCAAATCGGATCGTGGATTCTGCAAGGAGCATCCTCAACAAGTTCATACCTGATATCTATATTTACACGGACCACATGAAAGGAGTCAACTCTGGGAAGTAAGTGTCTGCATTTTGAAGTCTACTTGTGCAGCTGCCTAGCAAATTTGTCGTCTTCCTTTTCTGGTTGAAGTTTAAACTGCCGGCTCGGGTCAGGCGGCTGGAGGAAGAGCGATTTTAGAATTAGTCTGTCTCCTTCCAGTTATTGCCATTGTTACCACCAGGCATTTTTTGAGTGCCTGTCACATGGAAAGCATCCCAGTGGCAAGCACTGAGATCCTAAGGTCCATTCCCTAACCTTGGACACTTAATACTCATCTATTAATAAACAGTGCTTCAGGCTTTAAATCCCATCTTCAATGTGTCCAACAAAAAGTTAAAGTGAACAGGTTGTTCCCCCAAGTAAATGACAGTAGGGGGAAAATCCTTTGTTATTAAGTGCAGGTCAGCTTATCTCTCCATCACTGGGAACAGTATACCTAGCTCCACTGGAAGCTGTTATTGCAGATTTCAGTTTGGTTCAGTGAAAGCCTTTGCTAATGAAAAACAAAGAAAAAAACCCCACTAAAAATTAACATGAAAGTTAAAAAATAGAACATTAAAAGAAAAATTTTCAAAAGATTTATTTATTTATTTATGAGGCAGAGTTACAGAGAGAGAGAGAGAGATCTTCCATCTGCTGGTTTACTTCTCCAAATGGCTGGAGCTGGGCTGATCCGAAGCCAGGGGCTAGGAACTTCTTTCGGGTCTTCCACATTACTGCAGGGTCCCAAGGACTTGGGCCATCTTCTGTTGCTTTCTCAGGCCATTAGCAGAGAGCTGGATTGAAAGTGGAGCAGCCAGGGCTTGAACCGGTGCACATATGAGATGCTGACAGTGCAGGCGGCGGCTTTACCAGCTATGCCACAGCACCAGCTCCCCCCCGCCCCCCCCAAAAAAGAAATTTTAAATAATGAGAATTAAAGCAATAAAAGAAAAAAATAGTGATCTATATAATGAAAATGGCTGTACAGGCTTTGCTTGTATGTTTAGAATTGGGGAAGCAATTAAAACCACTTTAATTATGAAAAGGTTAAGCATGCAGGAAATCTGTAAAAATGGTCTGATGAACATCTACATGTATTTCCACTGTAGTTAATTAAGACTGTTTTGCCACACTGCTTTATTTGTGTGTTTTGTCTCTTGTTAAACTGTTTCACTGTGATCGATGCCATCATTATACTTTGAAATTTTCTGGTTGTGTCTCCTAAAAATAAGGATATCAGAGTCAGGGGTTAACTCTTGAGGTAAGAAGCAAGCTTTTTCCTGAGTGAAATCACAGATGTTCCATTTTCACAGGTATTCCACTTGAAGTATTTTTTTAAGATTTATTTATTTATTTGAAAGGCAGAGTGACAGGCAGCGAGAAAGAGAAACAGAGAAAAAGGAAGCTCTTTCCTCCACTGGTTCACTATCCAAATTGCCACAGCAATCAGATCTGTGTCAGGCCAAAGCCAGGAGCCAGGAACTCCATCCTGGTCTCCCATGGGCCACCTTCCTCTGCCTTCCCAGGCACATTAGCAGGAAGCTGGCTGGGGAGCAGAGCAGCTGGGACTCAAACCAGCACTCTAGTATGGGGTGCCAGGGTTGCAAATAGTGACTTAACCTGTTGAACTACAACATAGGCCTTTGGGGTGTTTTTTTAAATTTCATCTAAAAAAAAAAGTAGGGGGAAGGGTGTGGGAGTGGATGAGGATCTTTGACCTCCATGAGGCCCAGTGGAAAGATGCAGGTGATTTCAGAGATTCAGTGGTAGCTCATAGTCCAAAGCAACAAAGTGCTAGTGTCAGAGGTTAGAATTGGGAAAGCATTTGTGTGCAAAGCTGGCCCTTTCTTCTGGCAGTTGGAAAAGTCAATGTTTGATACCACATCAAGCATCAACAATATTTTCTTTTTTAATTTATTTAACAGGTAGAGTTATAGACAGAGAGAGAGACAGAGAGAAAGGTCTTCCTTCCGTTGGTTCATTCCCCAAATGGCCACTACAGCTGGTGCTGCGTCGATCCAAAGCCAGGAGCCAGGTGCCTCCTCCTGGTCTCTCATGTGGGTGCAGGGTCCCAAACACTTGGGCCATCCTCCACTGCCCTCCCGGGCCACAGCAGAGAGCTGTACTGGAAGAGGAGCAGCCGGGACTAGAACCTGGCGCCCAAATGGGATGCTGGCACCACAAGCGGAGGGTTAACTAAGTGAGCCACGGCACCAGTCCCGGATTATATTGTTGAGAAGGTTGCCACATCTGGTGGCATTTTCTTAAGAGACGTTGAACCAAATAGATTTGAGTTTTATGGAGAGGTGCTTGTGTTTATTGTTTATGGTCTGATTTTCTTTGGTAGGCAAACTGGTTGACTGCATGGTTATCATGGATACTTTCCCCTAGATGTATGTTGGATGCATGAGCGAAAGTGCATCAGTGGTCCTGGTCAAGAAAGGTGTTGGGTTCTGGCTGTTGGGTGGTAGAAATACAATGGGGGAGAACATGGTACTTGCTCACTGGTTATATTGATCGAATTCTGAATTTTGAGCTGGTTTTTTTTTTTTTTGGGGGGGGGGTACAACAATGTAAAGGTGTTTCTTTTTTTAAAAATTTTTTTTATTTGAAAGAGTTATACAGAGGCAGAGGCAGAGAGAGAGAGGTCTTCCATCAGCTGGTTCACTCCCCAAATAGCCAGAACTGGGCTGATCTGAAGCCAGGAGCCATGTGGGTACAGGGGCCCAAGGACTTGGGCCATCTTCCACTGCTTCCCCAGGCCATAGCAGAGAGCTGTATCATAAGTGGAGCAGCTGGGACTTGAACCAGCGCCCATATGGGATGCTGGCACTGCAGCTGTACCTGACCATGCTCACTATGCCACAGTGCCAGCCCCTAATGGTGTTTCTAATCTAGGCCCTTTTTGGTTTGTGTGGTATCTTTCATTGCAGGAAAAAGCCTGATGTTTCTCAAGAAAAGTTTTAATCTGATAGTCTGTAAGGCCCTTGTACCTCCTGTGTAGGTTGTGACTAAGGGTTGAGTTAAGTGCTGGGGTGGAGAACTTGCATAGCCTTTGGAGTCTGGAAGGCCTGTGTTTGCAGCTCATCTCTGTCACTTCCTAGCTATGTGGCCTCAGTGCAGGTTGCTTAATTCCTTCGTTTCCTCATTTGTAAAAAAATAAAATAAGTATCTACCCTGCAGTGTTGTAGTATCACAAATATGGTTTGCAGAGCCCCTAGCCCAGTAACTGGCAGAAAGTAGATGCCCAACATCTGGTAGCTCTAGTTCATGTTGTCATACACTGTTGATTATTGCCAGTTCTCATAGGAAGAGCGTTTACATTTAGGAGGGAAGGGGAAAAAGAAGGGTGGAGAGAGCTAATAGGAAAGCAATGGGCCCTTGTGTCTCTCTTGGGTTCTGCTTTGTGTGCCCTCACCAAGTCGTCTCTTTCTCCTGTGTCAGTGAGTAGGAGCTCCAGTAAGCTTAATGTAACCGGAAGGAAGCTTTAGGACACAGTGCCATCCAGAAGATGTTTGTCTTCTCTGTTTGCCGGTGAGTATGAGCTCCATGCCATTCGCCCTACTCAGTGTCTGTCCCTTGAATCCCCAGGTCACCAGGATTTGGGTTGTCACTCGTTGCTGAGACCACCAGTGGCACCTTCCTCAGTGCTGAGCTGGCCTCCAACCCCCAGGGCCAGGGGGCAGCGGTGCTTCCAGAGGACCTTGGTAGGAACTGTGCCAAGCTACTACTAGAAGAAATCTACAGGGTATGTCGTCAGCCTGTGGGCTGCAGGGAGAGCAGCAGTTGTGAAGCAGTTTATGTTCTCTTGTTTTTGTTCTTTGGCAACTTTCCTTCTCTTCCAGGAGCTTAAGCCAAGGAGTTAACCACTTCCACAGATTAAATGGTTTAGTGTTAATTAGTTTAATGGATTAGTTGAAATAGAGCATGAACAGAGATCCAGCACCATTGGTTGGTTGGGACCCAGGGCACACTTTTTTTTTTTTTGGTGAGAGGCACAGGGGAGAGGGCAGGGAGAGAGATGGACTGGCAGACTGACAGAGCTTTCATCTACTGGCTTACTCCAAATGCCTACTGCAGCTGGATCTCCAGAGCCAGGAGCTAAGAACTCAGTTAAGATTTCCCAAATAGGTAGCAGGAACCCAAGAACTTGAGCCACTCCTTCAAGCTTCTGCATTATGAGGAATTTGGAATTGGGAACCAAAGCTGAGAACTGAACCCTGGCATTCCAATGTGGGACATGGTTGGTTTAACCAGTATATTAACCACTAGGCCAAATGCCTACCTCAGGCAGGCAGATTTTAACCGTGGATAGAGGAACCACCCAGAAGGGTTGTAAAGGATAGAGAAGGTAAAAAACAACGAAGCAGGTAAGGTAAGGTAGTGACTGGCATGCTGCCCTGGCCAAACAGGGTACCACCAGCTCCCTTGGTTGTTGCTGTGTGAGAGTGGGGGCTCATTGTTCTCAGATTTGTCAGAAGAAGTTGGAAATCTGGATTTCCATGTGACAGTTGATTCAAACATGAAATAATGTCAACAGACTGGATTTTGCCGTGTATTCTAGATCATGGAAAAATGTTCAGGGAAGGCAGGCCTGTGCCAGGCGGGGGCTTTGGAAAACATGGGAACACATGCCAGAGAAAGGATGACCCAGTGTAGAAGACAGACCTCAGCCAGTTGTCATTTGTACACCTCTGCTAATGGGACGCCACAGTTCCAACCGCCCCAGTCTGGTTGGCCAGTCTTTCTCTGTGGATCTGTGTGTGCAACATGCACAGATGCATGGACATGCTTCCACCCTTTCCCCCCAAGTGGTTGAAGTGACCTAAAGAAAGAAATTGGGAGGAAAGGGAGATGACGGCAGAAGGAATAAGATGTCGTTGCCTGGAAAAGCCTTCTCTAGGATCCCATATACTAGGCAGGGGAGTGTCTGAAATGTGATTCTGAGATGTTTGTTGGTCTGCCCTCTGTTTTGCCGTGGACACACATCAGGGTGGTGAAACCTTTTCCTTCACACGCAGAGTTCAAGCCAGGCTCTGAGGGAGGGAATTTTCTCTGCTGTGTGTTGTCAGGCCACATGTTGTAGAATTGAATGCTAGCCAGAACTGTATTCTGGGCGACTTGCTATTGGAGGATGTATAGTGTTTGTCAGTTCTCTCTTCTGCACTGAAGGAGCTAAGAGACTTCTCTCTTTGTATTTATCTGTATATCTCTTCTCAGTTCTTAGTCATCTCTGTGGTCTCCAAGAAAGCTTTGTCCTGTCTAAAGTAGCAAAAATCACATCTGAGCCCAGTGAAGGGAAATCAGTAAAGGAGGGGCAGGGGTGATTTTTTTTTTCTTTTAATTCTTCCTTTTGCCACTAGTCCAGCTTATTACTCACATGGCAGGTGAAGCCGGGGCCATGGATATTGCTCCCCAGACAGATCTCACAACAGAAGGCTGCTTATGATTGTAGTCTGCTCCCTGGTCCAAGTCAGCACTCTGGAAAATGTCTCATCAGGAGGAACAAATGAGAATAAGCTGTTTCAGAGTTCATTAAAATGTCTTGACCCAAATGGTTCTATTTAATAGCCATCTAATTAAAAATCAAAGATAAATGACCCACAGTTGTGTCTTCCAGGGAGTGACTCTGTCCCTGCTGCCCAACTTCTAGCTGGGAAGTCGTAGAGGAAGGCCTTCAGCTGAAATCCAAAAGGGGGAGATTTCCTTTCATGAGTCTTGTGCAGTCCAGGTCTGGCCTCTGATTTTTTGGTGCTAAGTCAGTTCTAATTATGGTGCTAAAGTTAGTGGATATTGGAAAGAGGAGTAACTACAGGTGTGGGGGCAAATCATCAAGGAGTTGCCCTGCCAGTTACTTTGTTCACAAAGGTGGGCCATCAAGGGCTGACGCTGCGGCTCACTAGGCTAATCCTCTGCCTTGCGGCGCCGGCACACCGGGTTCTAGTCCCGGTCGGGGCTCCGGATTCTGTCCCTGTTGCCCCTCTTCCAGGCCAGCTCTCTGCTGTGGCCAGGGAGTGCAGTGGAGGATGGCCCAAGTCCTTGGGCCCTGCACCCCATGGGAGACCAGGATAAGTACCTGGCTCCTGTCATCAGATCAGTGTTGTGCACTGTTCGCAGCGCGCCAGCTGCGGTGGCCATTGGAGGGTGAACCAACGGCAAAGGAAGACCTTTCTCTCTGTCTCTCTCTCTCACTGTCCACTCTGCCTGTCCAAAAAAAAAAAAAAAAAGTGGGTTATCTACACATTTAAGCAGGGAGAAAAAGGTGGCTGTGATCGGTGTGTATCCGATCCCCTTGCTGGCTTGTGCTGGTTTCCTTTTTCTGTGGTGGCTGGCAGGCCCTCTGTCTGACGACAGGGACACTTCTGTCCCTTCCTAGCAGACCTTGGGAGAATTGGAAGCATCACATTACAGAGGGGCCCAGTGGGAGCCCAAGGGCACAGCTGGTGTGTGGGTTTCTGTCCCTATTAATAGCAGAGTATAAGCTTCAGGGTGAAAACACAGCCCACCAGTCCATTAGAGGAAAAACATGTAGGCTTTTTTTTTTTTCCCCTCTTTCCTCTAATTGAGATCTACTTTAAACCATTTCATGGTGTCTGGACCGCATTTGTTTGTTTTGTTTTAGTCATTAAGAAAACTTCCTTTATGTATCTATGATGTTTAATTATTAAAAGGATGGAAATACTTTTTTTTTGAATAATTTTCTACAGATTTGGGATGTGACATGATTTGAATGAGTCATAGAAGTCCATCCCTTTTGAAGGTGCTCTGGTAATCTTACTCAAGTTTTAAGTTTCTCATCTAATCCCCCAAGTTGGCATCTGTGCCCTCTAGCTTCTGTCCCAGGCTTTCTGGAATGCCCTTTCCATTGGTCCATCCACTCCTTTGCACTGCCCTGCCTTCCACTTGGATTGTGATGATGTACTGGTACCCACACCCCTGCCCCCCAAACTGCAGACCAGGAGACATTTTCAAGTCCTCTCTGACATCCTTTTCACTCATAGTCTCCCCTTTAACACCTGTCTGATTTCCTACCTCCTGTACACAGAGACCTTCACTGGCTTCTTAGTTTCCGGAGATAAATATAGAACTCTTGACCTAGTTACATAAGCTCTACATTTGTCTAGCCGCCCCACTCCCTCCCTCCCTGTGGCTGTCAGGCCTCTTTGAGAATGGCCTCCTAGCGATCCTTAGTGGACCCTGGGGCATGCTTTCCTCATCTTCCTTCTCTTCCTTCCTCTCTCTCCAGGGCCAGCTCAAGTCCTACCCCTCAAAGTCTTCCTCTAGTGTCAGCTGAGCAGTTGCCCTCCCACCTTGGTAGTCTGGTAGCCCCCATGACTCCCTCCGTGTATCCTGTACACGAACCCTAATGTAATATTGCAGTAAAATATTAATCCTATACCTAATAAAAAAATCAGTTGAAACTGAACTAATGACGTAAGGATAGAAACAGAGACCAGACAGAGTGGTTTGATTCCAGGCAGTCATATGGAAAGGGAGCGAGACATGTGGCACAGGCCCTTCATATTTCCTGTGGGTCAGGTTTTCCTTTTTGGGTAGAAAAAATACTCTTATCTTAAAATATGGTAATGAGATAACCGTTTTCCCCTTTTGTTAAGTAGTTAAGAAGAGCTAACAGGAGGATAACCTCTTGATTTTGGCTAAGGATATCCTAAATAAGTAGTGCCAACACCTGAGAATGATGTATTCCCTACCTCAGATCCATTATAGAGGACAGCGGTGGGTATGCCCACATAAACAACACTGACTTCTGGTCAAAAAGTCCAGACTTGGACAGTACTGTGCTAGGGTCAGAACGTGGGTTTCTTTTCTTTTTCTTTCTTTTTTGACAGGCAGAGTGGATAGAGAGAGAGACAGAGAGAAAGGTCTTCCTTTTGCCATTGGTTCACCCTCCAATGGCCGCCACGGCCGGTGCGCTGCGGCCTGCGCACCGCACTGATCCGAAGGCAGGAGCCAGGTGCTTCTCCTGGTCTCCCATGGGGTGCAGGGCCCAAGGACTTGGGCCATCCTCCACTGCACTCCCGGGCCACAGCAGAGAGGGGCCTGGAAGAGGGGCAACCAGGATGGAATCCGGCGCCCCGACCGGGACTAGAACCCGGTGTGCCGGCGCCGCTAGGTGGAGGATTAGCCTATTGAGCCGCGGCCATATTGCAGAATATGTAGGAATTCAAGGTTCTCTTGATTTTATTATGTACCATGTAAGTTTGAATCACTATAAATAAAATTGTCCCAGGATCGTACACATCAGTAATGCATGCATCTAGAAGAAGCAAAGAGCCGAAACAGTTGAGAAAATCAAGAATGAAAGGAGAAAGGCCACCAAAGCAGTTGTACATCAGGAGAAAGTTTTGGAAGATAATTCTGTTGTGCTTATTGAGGAAAAGGAAGGAAAGTAGTGGGGGCTGGGGCGAAGGAATAATGTGTAAGTAATAAGAATGGAGGGATCTGATCCTGCTAACTCGGGTTGAAGGCACTTGTGCAGAGAATAGGTGGCGGGGGAGTTCCCGTGGCAGGGCAAGCGGTTTGTGAGTGGTCGGTAGTAAGACCCTTTAAAGGGAGGGCCTTTTCACTGTTCAGTAAATATGAGTGCCATCCACTGGGCCTTTGAGATAAAATAGTGTCTCCCAGAGTGTTGCTTACACTCAATAGAATGATATTATGCTCCTGCTATGATCACACTGATCATACTGATCATCTGTCAGTTTAACCCACTAAAGTTAGCTGATGCAAGGCTTAATCTTACTTGTCTTCTGTTGTATCTGTTTGGATTTTACTCTGAGTTCTGGGTTTGTGTTTCTGATTTTATTTCCCCTTTTCTCTCTTGTTGCTTCCCCTGCCCCTTGTGGTTTGTGCAGTGTTTAATCATTAAAGTTAGTTTGTGCTTACAGGGTGGATGTGTGGATTCAACCAATCAAAGCCTGGCCCTGCTGCTCATGACCCTTGGACAACAGGATGTTTCCAAAGTCCTGTTAGGACCACTCTCTCCCTACACGTGAGTGATTTTCTTTCACCCTTGTTATTCTGTCTAGTTTAATTTTCTGATTGCAAAAAGTGACAGTGTGTTGTGCATAGTTTTGTTACGTGACTGCTTGCAGTTGTCACTCTTAACCTGGTATTTCTTTTATGAAGGAGTTTTACCTTCCTTTCCTTCCTCATTCCCACCTGTCATTCCCATGTAATTAACATTACCTCATATCTCTGGAGTGATACTTTTCTTGTCTGTGCTTTAGATGTTATTTCCTTTATGAAGGTAAACTCCTGGCTCTGCACAGCTAGGATTTTATTTTATTTATTTATTTATTTTTAAAATTCCCCTTCTCTCTGTCAGTCTTCGCTTGCTGTGGCAAAACGGGCTTTTTGTCCACGATGATAAGATATGAGCTGGCTAGAAAAGATAAAGTGAGGCAAAGTTGATAGTCATGCTCCTGGGCTAGTAGTGAAATTGTGGGGGTGAGGCTGGGCTGTGGCTGTTAACAGAAGCTGGCTGCTCAGGTGTAAGAGCAAGCGGTCTGTAGAAAGCAACTCCTCAGAGGACCTGACGTAGGAACTAACTGCACAGTGAAAGAAGCTTCCCCAGGGCTCACGTAGGCTGCTGAGAGCAACCTTTTTGAATACTGACATGTGTTAAGTGTGCACATATGTGCTTGTGTACTTCCGGATGGTTCCGTGATCATCTGTGGGTGGTGAGCTGGGTGGGAGGAAGTACTCAGCTAGATATGAGACTGAACTGTCCTTTTTCGGTTATCATGGTACCGATGCTGTATATCTGAAAGGTACAGTACTGTGATAACTGAAGAATGGTGGTGCCATCACATTGAGAAAGGGACAAGGCGTGTGGTGCAGCAGTGTAGCTATGAGCCATGGCCTTGGCATGAAAACCAGAAGCTGGGAAGCAATTCTTTGGGAGGTGCCCCCCTCACCCCATCCCCGCCCCAGATAGACTTGTGTACAGTGTTCACAGGCCAGGGAACCTAAAATTAGGTAATCCTAAATGGCACGCTGACGTCAGCAGGTAACACTGCTGAAGCATTTGGAGAGGTGCTAAGCGCTGGGAGTATACTTCCCATTTGGTAGTGAAGCATTTGGAGAGGAGGTAAGAGCTGGGAGTGTAGCTCTCTGAAGTATAGTGTAGTGTTTGCTGGAAGCAGCTGATAGCTGTGGGGCCACCTGGCCCCCGCCGGCTTTTTAGGGCCTCTCATTGCTGCAGCTTCCCCAGCTGCTACTCCAGGGCAGCAGCCTGACCATTCGCACAGCAAAGAAGCCTTGTTGCTAAATGTGTGTGATCTTGGGCATGGCTTTGGTAGAACATTATGTGAGAAATGGAATACATATTTTCATTTTTCCTTGACACTGTTTTTTTGGCTTCTGTGAAGTTTTTCAAAGATGGTCAAGATGTGACTGGACATTTTGTAAATTCCTGTGTCCTTCTTAGGACACTGCTCTCCGATCATTCACTGCAGTGGCTTTTTTTTTTTTTTCTAAAAAACCTTGCCTAAAATTGCTGTATCACTCTGAATGGAACTCTCCCCACTCCCAGGAACCTTTTATTTAAGGGATACAAACTTGATACATTTCATATTTACAACTTTAGGAACATAAAAATATAGAACACTTCATGAATTTGCGTGTTATCTTTGCACGGTGGCCATGCTAGTCTTCTCTGTATCATTGCAATGTAAATGTGTTGCTGAAGTGAGCACCTGAATGGAACTTTAAAGGAGTAGGACAAATTGTGTTTGGAACTAGGGCTTGAAGACATTCTGCTTCCTCTAGATTACCTGCCCCACTCAGGGCTTCTTGCCAAGGGGCTTGCCATGAAGGGGGCCTCCCTTTTTTGGGTCAGCTAGCACAAGCAAGGGTAAGGGGGTTTGTTCTCAGAAAAGCTGAACCTGTGTTTGGGATCCATTTTACCTTTAGTCACTATGAAGGGCTCCAAGTGGCCCACAGCGTGAAGGGTGAAAGTGGGCCCCAATAGACAAGGTTCATGTCGTATTTATAAAGCCCGGTGGAGGGTAAAATGGGACAGAATCATGGCCAGGACCATCATGGTTGGGGGAACAGTTTATTCTAGTTGAATTCACAATCTGATGAGCTATCGCATTTATTTTTGTGTGCAATTAAAGTCATAGAAATGCTTTATGAAACCTCAGGTTTCTAAAGAAAACCAGAAGCAAGACCCTCCTTGTTGCCTTTTTTCCTAAATGTGTGTCTTCTGGCAATTTGCACATGTTTTGATTTGCATAAATAGCTTTGTGAATGTTTATTTGCAATGTTGGCTTAAGAAGGAGTTTTTTCTTTCAGCATTGCTTTCAAAGCCCTTTTGGAAAGTGAGGGTCTCAGTGTCTCTCTGTTTTCCTCTTCTCACCGTCTTACTTCAGGTACCACTGTTGCCCATTTTCAGTGCTGCTTGAGAGGGTCCATCTGTATGTATGAGTGAAATTCTCCAGCAAGGGCAGAGAAAATTTTTTTCCAGTAAAGTAAAATAGTATTGGATGTGGGGAGCAACTGAGACTAGACTAAGTTACTGGAACTAAGACTAACACTATGCATCTGATCTCCCACAATATGGCGCTGAGAGGGAGCAAACAATTTCTATGCAGCTGCCTCACCAATTTGACTAACAAGTGGCAGGAGCTGATCCTGCTCCTGATTGGAGGAGAGCAGCGTGCTCAGCGTGTGGGCAGCAGAGCATGGATTGGTGGAAGAGGACTGTAAAGGAAGAGAGAGACACTATGCCCTGGGGAAACATCTGAGGAACATCTGAGCAGCCCCTGAGAGAGCCGGCTGCTGGTGTGCCGCTCCTCCGCGGAAGCGGGGAAAGTGGCGGGCTGCCGCCCTTCCGTGGAGGTGGGGTGGGGAGGGGGGGCCCGACAGCTAACCCGGGACGGTGTCCTTCCTCTGCGAGTGAGGGAACGGCAGCTAACCTGGGAAGGGCCGGGCAGAGAGAACAGCGCAGGGTCCGGTGTCGTTCCTCCGCAAATGGGGGAGCGACAATTGGATAACATGCTGGGGTGTGGAGAATCCGTTTCTGTTAAATTTATCGAGTTCCTTTTCTTTTCTTTTCTTTTTTTTTTTTTAACAGCCAGACTGAATTTATTCAGAGGAAATAAATTCATAGATACTGAGGTGTTTTTTTTGTTTGTTTTTAAGGTAGTTTACATTTGGTGACATTGGTTTTACCCTTTCCTCAAAAAGTTTAATTTTACAGCTTGTGAAGGATTCACGCTTATTTTATTTAAAGTTGAATTAACGTAAAGAAAACAGTATGTATTACAAGCATCTCCAATGGCACATTCAGAAATTGTGAAAGGATCCCGGGGTGACTGGAGTTCCCCGTGTTCTCTCAGTGCACAAGCCCTGGGGTGCAGCCTACCTGGGCTGCAGTTCTGACTCTTCATGGGGCTACCAGGAGATCGTGGACTTGATATTTTATGTGTCTGAACCTCAGTCTCACCTCTAGATAAGGGGACTACTCCTGAAGTCATAGAGGTGGCCGAGACGGAGCCATGCTTAAATGAGGTCAAGCATTCATTGCTCGTGGCAAGGCCCAGTTAGTGCTGCATGCTCAGGATCCTTTCTGGACACCCCCTTGCCCTACCCTAGTCCATTCTCTTAGGTCACTCTGACCATCAGGAGGCCTGATAAACGCTTGTGGGGAGATTGTATGCCTGCGTAAAGATGTGACTGAGTTCCTCCTGCCACATAGCTGAATAAGCTACACATATTTATAATGCCCAAGAATTGTGTAAAGTAGGCGTTCATTTAACAAACAGTGTTTACTATGTGCCAGATACTGTCTTAAGCTTTTCAGTCATTTAGTTTGCATCGTTACCCAGTGAGGATAGGAAAGGTGGACACTGATACTGTCTACCTTACAGGTGATGGAATCGAGGCCCAGAGAGATCAGGTTGTGCACAGAAAGTCAGGGTCACACAGACAGTAAGTGGGGTTCAGACCCAGACAGTTTCACACAGAGCCGCTGCTTCCCTCAACCACTGTGCTCTTCTGTAAGAATTGGGGTTCTGTGTAGGTCGCTGGACTCCCTGCTACCTTACCTGAGGCAGGATGCCAGAGAGTCCTCATTTGTTGTGGAATACTCTCCTTCTATCTTTGTTGGAGTCTGAAATACACCATGCTGCTTGTTTGTTTTCGGACTTCAGTAATTTGAGGAAGGGCTGGGGAGTTGGAGGCTACTTGTTCAACACCCACCAAGTGGGGCTTCTGGGCTCAGCCAGTCTGAAGATGGGTAAGATAATGAATGCACAGGAAAACAGTGGCCTGCTGCTTCCGAGGTCCAGTGTCGTCACAGGTGTCTGGGAGCTCACACAGCATTGCTCCACCTTAAAATCTGGGAAGTGCTTTCAGTGCTGCATAGCCCTGTCATCTGTGCTAAGTTAGATCCTAGCACAGAACGTCTGTGGGAAAATGGGATTGAAAGGAATGTTTATTTGGGGGCAAGGACATCTTGAAATTCATGTTTAATTTTTGCAGAAGACACATTTTCCGTGAACTTTTTGAAGATCTCTCATATTTGGCATGTTGTAAAAGTGACACCTAACTTTTCAGATGAAGAAGAAAGGCCAGTGACCTGCTCATAGTGACTTTCTGTGGAAATTCAGCTGGGATTCCCATCCCTCAGTGGTGCAGCCAGCCTGGTTCCCTGTTTCCTGCTGCCTCTGTAACCTAATTTAATAACTTCCTGGTCAACTAGGCTTTGGAAAAGCTGCTTTTCAGCAGATAATTTTTTTCACCGATATATTTTAATTTGCGGCTTGGTCATGGCTAGGGGGACCAGAGTTGAGCAGATTATTTTCTTACCCTGAGATCTTCCCCTTCAACTTCTGGGTGGCTTGGTGGGGCAATAGGCAGGGCCCTGTGTCATGGTTGTGTCAGCGGGATCTGCCGAAGAGTGTTCCCTCCATAACTGCTCTCACTCCACTCTGTCACATGCTTCCAAAGGGGAACCTACTGAGAGGGGCCTGGGCTTGGGGC